TTTTTATTTTTCAGTTTGGTTGTTTCATTTTTTGTCAGTGGGCATTCTAATGGATGTGATGTGATATCTCACTGTAGTTTTGATTTGCATTCCTCTAATGACTAGTGATGTTGAGCATCTGTTCATTTGCCTGTTGGCCTATCAGTCACTCTTAAGCAGAGGTTGGGAAACTTTCTTTGTCAAGGGGAAGATAGTATTTTAGGTATTGTGGGTCACACAATAACTGATCAATTCTGCCATTGTAGCATGAGTACAACCATAGACAATATGCAAATGAATGGATGTGGCTGAGTGCCAATAAAACTTTGTTGACTGAAGTAGAGAGTGAGTAGTATTTGACACTGAGTTCAGCTTGTAGATATTGCTCTTAAGGCAAGGGGAACTTGAGTTATTGCTCTGTCTGTGGGAGTCTGAGGGTAAGGGCTCTGTCTTGGTCACTTCTGCATCCTTTTGGACTCAGCATGTGTTCAGTTAACATTTCCTGAATTGATGGTCTCTGCCCATCCCCTTACCCAGTGGGGAACAAAGCCAGTGATGTATGTGTCTCCCAGAACTTGATAGAAAAGGCATCTTACAAGAGTTGCTGGGAGACAGGATACAGCACAGGACAAAGGCTGATAGGCCTTCACTGTGTTCTCTCTTCCTTTATCCCCTACTCATGTCACTCTAGAAAGTTCTCTAGACCAAAGAAGCAAATGGGGTTCAGTGGGTGAGAGGCAGATCTGACAAAAGGAAGGCTCTAATTTGGGCCCACCATCATTTGGAGTCTTCCATGATCAATGACTAGGCAGTGATGATAAGGGAAGGTTGTAGTGACTCCCAACATGCCTCTTTTCCATTTCTGCATTTCTATTTATTTATATTCTTTAAGCCTTTCATGTTGGACAGCCTCAGATCAGAGCCCATGTCCCTTCCTCCCCACATGGGCACCTTTGCTGCATTAAACTGCCTGAATTGAATGGGTAACGTGAGATGCACTGGCCTAGGGGTTCAGGAGCCCTTGGCCTATCCCTGGCTCTGCTAACTGCTCTCTTAGGGCCTCCCCCAGCTGGTCAATGTGGGTGTTGGTGGCATTCCCCTCTAAATGCCTTTCTAGTCTGGTTACACACATTGGGCACCTTCCCAGGAGGAGGCATTGCATATGACTTCAGGGACAGAGAAATGAATTAAAAGCCCCTGCAGGGCCCTTGGGAAGTGTTGTGGTTCATGGGAGATCCAGGCAGCTAAGCCGATGATTACCTTATAACTGAGGAGGTGCTTTGATGGTGACCAGGCTTTGGAGGAAGCCAGAAAAGAGAGCTCTTTTGGAGAGAAAGCTAGGAGGATGTAATGATGTTGGAGATAAGGTTTGAAACGAAGAGGCTGCAGGCCCAGCAGGACCACAGGAAGAGCTTATAAGCTGGCTTGGATAGAGGAAGGGAAGGCAGAGGAAATCACATGAAGAGGTGTTTCAGTTCAGCAGAAGAGAGAACTTCCTTTTCTACCAGCAAGGGCTAGCTCACACACCAAGGAGAGAGGAAGCCTAGAGCTACTTGTCAATGGATACAAATGCACACCAGAGCTTGGAGGGATGTGGCCAGACACCCCAACCATTCCTGTCCTGTCTGCTGAGCCAGGCTACACCTTGGTTCCAGTCCTCCTTTTAGAGTCACAGACCCCACAAATGGCCACAGGTATCCCTGGTCCAGCAGCACATGCAGATGAAGATGCTGATAAGACCTGGGGTTCCCACTCTGGCCTCTGCCCCTCAGCTTGTCTCTCCTGGGCCTTCTCTCCAAAGTGGGCTTCTCCACAGATGCAGGCCCCTACCCCACTGGCAGAAATTTTGACTGGGTTACAATCATGTTTGAAAATCAGATGACAAGTATATACCCTTTTCCTGCCGAAAGACAGACTCACAGATGACTCAAAGGTTGCATCCAATTTGTGTGGTTCACAGACCTCCTGAACCACACATGAATGCGAGGCCCAGACTGCTCCAACTAGTCCTATAGGCTGCTCAAATCCCCGTGCTTGGATTGTTTCCTTTCATTGCCGTTGTTACTCTAGGATTCTAGGCCAGGCAAATGGTTACACGTTTCCTGGGTGCCCACTGTGCTGAGAGGACACTGGTTGGCTCTGCCCTTGAAAGAGCTCCTGGCCTAGTGGGAGTGGGAGAAAGCACACAGTGGGAATATACTAAATGAGGCAAAAGCTTGGGAGCCACAGGCTGGGAGCCCAGAGAAGTTCCCAATTGGGAGTATGGGAGTAGGGAGTTGGCCACTTTGGACCTGGGAATATACGGAGAGGACATTGCAGGGAGCCGGGACAACCTGAGCAAGGGGATGTATGACAGGTGTAAGTGGTTTGGCTGGAGCACAGCAAGTGCGAAGCCCAATGGAAGAACCTGGAAAGGTGGGCTGAGCACAGGCCATGATGGACTGGCCATGGAATGTGTTTGGGAGAAAATCAGGATCCACTTAAGTGTTTTTATTGGAAGAGAGAGATCTAAGTTTTTTCAAGGAAGGACTCCCTGGATGTGCAGAGTAGGCTGGATCAGAGGAGGCACACAAATCAGCTCAGCTGTCCCAGTATACTTGACCAAGGTGCAGACAGAGTCAGGTGCTGAATGAACTAGGTCGGCATCAATGGGGCGAGAAGACAATTGAAATAAGAGATTTCCCCAATGAACATGCAGAACTGGGCATGGACTTTCAGCTGTCCCCTTTCCCTTGGCCCTGTTTCTACAGATGGAGGTACCACGGGAGGGGCACAGGTACTGGTAGGTACTCCAGGAAGTCATTTTAGGGAGATGTGGTGCAAGGCTATCAGCCTTCAGAAAAGAAGTAGATGGTGGGGGCACAGGGCCTTGGGCTTGTGAGGGGGCAAGTTCAGTCTTACTGTGGCTGAGGTGAGGTGCTAGTTAGACTCAGTGACCTGGTGGGAGGGCACTTCAGTGGTTCAGAACCATTGGCAGGGTTTGTGAACACTGTGTGCCAGGCCCACCCCCAGTCTCAGCTCAGTAGGTGTGGGGTGGGGCCCCAGAGTTTCCAACAAGCTTTTGAGGGAGGGCTTGGAGGTTATGGTTTCCTGGCAGTCAGACTTTCTCCAAACAGGTGGCAGGAGGTGGTTTACATAGATCTAGGTCAGGACTATAGGGCAGAGCAAGGAAGGGTGGTGAAAGCTCTCACCATGCAGGGCTCAGATTCTGTCTAGAGAGCTCCCCCAGCCACTTACTGATCTCAGTCTCACCTTTCTGAATTGCACAGATGTTGCTTCCTTGGGAAGCCTTCAATGGCTGTTCTGCCCTGCCCCATTTTCAACTGGGCCAGGCTCACTTTCAGCCCAGTGTCACTCCCACACTTACTTTTTGGGACTTTTGTTTTCAATTATGCATTGATTTCCATGGCCCCACTAGAATATCAGCTGGGGGCTATTCACCACTGAAGCCCGTGCATTGCTCAATAAACATGTGGAAACATATACAGTTGAGTTTGATGAGGGACATCTTTGGTCAAGGCAGGTGCTAGCATTTTCCCAGGGAAGCTGGGAGGACAAAGCTGATGGCAATTTGACCCTTGATGCTTCTTAGCAAGGTCTGTCAGCCTCAGTCTTCCAAACAGAGAGCTTCCTCCAGGCAGCTCAGGAGTCTTCCCGTTCTGTGCCCAGGCCTCCTCCCTCCTTCCCTCCCTCCCTCTCCTTCCCCCAGGGAAATCAGGCAGTGAGCTGTGACTCTTTTCTAGGTGCTCCACCTCTTCAGCATGACAAACCTCCCACTGCTCCACACCTCCCACCCCGAGCCAGCTGGTCAGTTCTGTACTTCACTGAATCTGAGAAAGACAACATACTACTGATGAAACTACTACAAGCCATTAACTGTGAACCTGACCTTTTAGCCTGAAATGCCACCTAGGGGCCTTCAAGGTCCAACTCAATGCTGTCACTTCCTTCACAAAGGTCTTAGAAGCCATATCTCCTTCTTCTGAATTTACACCATCTCAAGTGTATATATCATTTCCTGCCCAGTATTATAGGGGGTTGTGAACATATCTTAACTCCACTGTTCTTAGTGCCTTCGGGGCAAAGACCTTGTCTTATTTCTCTTTGTATCTTCCCAGCCCATCAGTTCAGCAGTCTCCCCACAGCAGAGGGTCATTCTCATACTACACAAACCAAATGGCATATACAATGTTTTTATTCTACCCTCCCCAATTTTGGACAAAGGCACAGAAGAAAATAGAAATCTTTAAGATTACATGTCAGTTAGTCTAAGAAAAACCAGGTTCTATAAGGAGAGCATCACCAGAAAATAGAGAATGGTAAATCATTATATGCGCTAGTCTGGAAACTGGCCAGAAGGGTTCTGAGTGTGAAGGGTTCTATGAGGGAAATTGCCCTTTCTGAACCAGCTAATGGAGTTTCTGCCCAAACTCCAAGCAGATAAAGGCAGCTCTCCTCTGTCCGACCTTTCTGTCAAGCAGCCAGATGTCCTATATCATGAGAGTAGCTAAACAGCTGAAATAGCATGCCACAGGGACAGACCACCACCGTGCCACTCAGGACAAAGGGACTCTGTTGATAACGAGAAATTTGCCCATGATGGCAATTTTTAAGCTTTTAGAAGTGTTTTCTCCAAACTTTGTGTCTATTTAAAATGTACACATGATGTCTCACCATGTGGTTCTAACTTGTTTTTCTTCTAGGATATTTGTAGTATGTAGCTCCTTGAGTAGTCTGCAGCTTCTCCTCTTGTATTCTTCTCCATCTTCCATTAGAAAGGGGTTGTTTCTTCCTTACAGCTTCCTCAATCATGTGCAAAGATAGTGGAATGATAAGGAACCCAGGAGACAGGGGTGATCAAAGAGAACACAAAACAATAGAATACAAAGCTGCCTGCTACAAGACGACCAAATCTGATCCTACAAAGAAAAGTATCTGCTGTTTTTGCCCCAGTTGTGGTCATGGAAAGAATGAGTGTACTCCCACCCAAATGGCAAGAGGGACCCGACCTCAGAATAAACTTACTTGAAGAAGGTTAGTTTATTAATCCACAGGGAAGAGCTAATGGTGAGGGAATGTGAACGGAGGACCCAATCTTGGGGGCCTCACTTGACCTTTCGCAGGTGGTGGAAGCTCTGCACAGTTCTCTTTACAGCGTCATCCATGGTGACCAGTGGCTGGTAGCCCAGGACCTTTTTGGCTTTCTCACAGCTGTAGTAGTGGAATGTGCCAGCCAGTGCGACCCGCATTGGTGTGAAAGTGGGCTGAAGCTGGATGACAGGACTGGCCACCATCACCAGGAGGGACAGCAGGATAGCTAGACAGTAGGCTAGCCAGTAGGGAATGTGGTACTTCGGGGCCTCATAATTGAGGCCTGTCAGGATGCGGGACAGGAATGTCCAGAAAGGGATGGGTTCATCATTGGTGATGTGGAATGCCTGAAGAGAGAACAAGAAGTTAGAGACTGTTCCCTCACTGGAGGGATGAGCAGGCCACATTTAGAACTTGAAGCTCAGGCACAGCTGCTGGCTCATCCCAGGACCAACGTTTTTGGGAAACCAGTGGCCACTCCCTGACCATCCACCTGCCCCAGCTCCTTTACAGGGTACCTCCAAAGTGAGGCAGGCATTAAGCCCATGCAGATTGCAGCATTTCTGTGCTTCTCAAACACGCAAGTGTCAGCTGCTGACAGAGACAACTTTCCGACTTGCAGCTAGGGCAGCTTTAGGTGTAGAGAGGGAAGGTGATGAAAATTTTGTCTATATGCCAGGGTTTTAAGTGAAGCTTAGATTGTACCTGGGAAGGCACTCCTGTTAATTTAATTTAGTAATTGTGTTAATCACGGTAAAACTCATCTCATCTTCAGATGCAATGAACAAGGCATGACAGTTCTCAAATGTGCTGTGTTTGGTCTAAAGCCACCTACCCTAAGAGTTATATGAGTGGGAAAATGGCAGAGGTCCAGGAGAGAAAAATGAGGCCCAGATAGAGCAGATGCCAAAGGCACGAGTGTAAAAAAAGGAAGAGGGGAATACTCAGAATGAGAGGAAAGGGCAAGGGGCCCACATGTGCTCTCCTATTTCTGGGTGAGTGCTCACCTCCCCCACATGGCCACCCTGTACACTGGGTATCAAATGCCAGGAGATTCAGCTACACCAGCTCCTCAGAAGGAGTGAGAAGCATGAGAATAGAGGGAAAATGGAGACATCTGGAATGAGTGGGAGAAAGGGTAAATAGCAAACACTCTGTCCAATGTTCACAGAACCCTGTCCAGAGTAGCCATGTCCATGGAGCAGCCAGGTTACGTTCATGGGAAACCAGGTCCTGAATCCCTGTTCAATCCCAGCTTGTTCCTCTGGATTTTGGCTTTCCTGTGCGATGTGGTACTGCTATGACACCATGCTCTTAACCACAAGGGCTCAACCTTGACCAAACAGGATCCTAAAGGAGGTCTACAAGGATGCAGAACCATGAAGGGAAATGTGCCAGTGCAGTTAATCACACAGCGAAGAAATCTTCAGATGGGCAAATGTGCAGGGGGAGGATGTGGTGGGTCAGCCACTGCCAAGCTGGGAGAAGTAGGTGCCTTACCTTCCCACCCAAGGCCGTGTCTTGAGAGAGGTGTTCTGCAGCCAGAATGTGTCCATGGACCACGTTCTCCACAAAGGTGAAGTCCACCAAGTTCTTCCCATTTCTGTGGGCATACAGATATAGTTCCACTGGGCTGGGAACACTCAGCTGCACGTGGAGGCTTGCACGTGGAGACTCTGCATGTGGACCCAGGGTTGCTCCCAAGTCTCAGTGCTACTACTGAGTGTTGTAGTAAAAAGACTGCTACCTGCCCAACAGCTGCTACCTGCCTTGGCAATGCCAGCCCCTGGTACTCGTGGATATCTATAACAGTTAAAGATGTACAGGGGTCCAGGGCTCCTGGGGCCCTAAGGGGTAGTGGGACATTTAAGGACCAATTAATGAATCTGAAAGGCAGGTGCCCTGCATGCACCATCTGGCACAGCCAACACTGGTGTAGTCTGTTCTGAGGTCCAATTTGGGCAGCAGCTCTTAACTCCTTCCAGGACACTCTGGGCTGATGCCTTGCTCTGTCCTCACATGTTTCTACGATGTCCTTCAAAGCAATGGGACAGGGCAGAAGGGAGGCCAAGTGAAAGGCAAGCAGGCCAGGTAGAGAGACTACGGGTAGATAGACTACGGGGAAAAGGGAGAAAATGGAACAAAGGAAGGAAGGAAGGAAGGAAGGAAGGAAGGAAGGAAGGAAGGAAGGGGTAAATGTATCGGGAAGACAGCCACACTGTCAGCACCTGCACAGGCCCCTTCAACTGCACTCTCCTTAAAGGGGAATGTTAATGCCTCCACCTAGCTTCATAGATACAAGGAGAGTTGAGTGCCTGCCCCTTGACCCTGGGTCAATCTTCCCGCTCTGAGCCTGTTCCCTCCATTTCCAAACCAGGACACAAATATTTTCCCAGCTTGCCTGAAAGGCTCCTATAGTAGGTTGAATAGCGCCCTCCCCAAATTCATCTCCCCCTGGAACTTGTGGATGTGCCCTTATTTGGAAATAGGGTCATTGCAAATGTAATCAAGGTTAAGTGAGTTCATACTGGAGTAGAATGGGCTGTACATCCAATGGCTGCTGTCCTTACAAAACAAGATACATGTAAACAGAGACGCACAGACAAAATAAGGTCCTGTGAACATTCAGGCAGAGACTGGAGTGATGCATCAATAAGCCAAGAAATTCCAAGGACTGCCGGCCACCACCAAAGCTGTGAGAGAGGACTGGAAGAGATTCCCCTCAGAATCTTTTGAAGGAACCAACCCTCTTACAGTAGGATTTCAGACTTCTGGCTTCCAGAACTGGGAGAGAATTTATTTATTGTTTTAAGCTCCCCTCCCCACCCAGTATGGGGCATCTGCTGTAGTAGCCCCTGGAAAGAAATAAAGAGGTCAGCAGAGAAGGACATGTAAGAAGAGAGCTGAACGTGACTGATCCTTGCTATAGTGGGTTCAGGGGGTCTTGAAGAGCAAGCATGGGCCAACTTACCCAATTATGAACTTCATCTTGCCTTTTCTGGCTGCCTCGATAAGGATGGGGACCAGCTGGGGGTCCCTTGGGCCAAAAATGCCATGGGGGCGAATGGCTGTGGTTAAGAAATTCCTCTCAGGATCATTGGCACCCAGGACTTCCTGTAGGAGAGCAGAAGGAGCGTGTTTATGGTGGACATGCCGCTCCGGCTAAGTAGTACCTCCCACAGGGAACATAGATGCCACCCACTGCCCTGGGCTGAATATCTGCATTGGTCATGGTATAATTTTGGTTACTTCTTTACCCCATCCACCCCAACCACCCACACTGGAAAATGCAGGAGAGACAGCTGGGTCAAAATCAGTAAGACCAAAGGCTTGGGTTTGGGTTCAAGACTAAAATGTAGAAATGCAGCCAGAGGAAGATGAGCCTTGGCAGCAGTTTGTGCAAAAGATCTGGGGACTGTAGTGAGCCAGTTACCTGTGAGCCTCCCATGAGGGTTGTTACCAACAAAGGGGCCCTTGCCTTAAGCTTTATGTGCTGCTGCAAATTTCTACCAGTCATGAGCTGTTCTGGTCAGTTCTGAGTACCACCTCCCAGGAAGGGACTCTGATGAACCCAAGTGGGCCAGAAAGAAGGGACTGAGAAGGTGAAGGGGTTGGAAGAAACAAGGCAGCCAATACTGGTGAAGTCCTAAGAGCAGTGCCTAGTACCTATGAAGTGCTCAGGGAGAGGCAGCCACTATTCCTGTCATCTACCATCAGGAAAAGAGAAAAGTTGTGTTCTGTGTAGCTTAATGGACATACTAGAACTTAAGGGCTAAAAGTACAGAGAAACAGGTTTGTCTCAAAAGTAACAAAACTTCCTGAATGGTTTGTTACATTACTGGTAACACTGGGGACCATGACAGTGCCTGCCCTGACAGGGCTGCATGCTGATTAAATGGGATGGCCCAAGCCAACCATTTCAGTAAGTGCATCCTTAATAAGGACAGTTATCTAAAAAAAATTTTTTTAATAAAAAAAATAAGTTTAAAAATATTTTAAAAAGGACAGTTATCACCTCACCTAGGACTTCTACTCTATGGTGGAAAAAGTTTTGTACCTATTTGGGTCCTAGAGAGTTTACATTACTTGTTGACTGAGTTTACAAGCACTATAGCTACCCAACAGTAGAGAAGTGGTCTCACAACAGATTCCCACAGCTATCTCTCCTCTTCTCGCCACACTTCTGGTCCCATGGCACTGGGGGAAATGATTAAATAAGCCTTCCAATGCCTTCTACCAAGACTCATCTCTGTTGCTAAAAACAAGAGAGGTGAAGGGGTCCTAGATCAGTACCACATTCCATCTTTTTATGTTGGGAGGTCTGAAAACCAATAGTGAATTACTGTGTGCCAACTGTAGCTGACAGCAGGCTCCAGGAGGCTCCTGCTGGAGGCTTTTATAAGCTTTGCTTTTTTCCAGTTGGGCATCAAAAGTCAATGCAAGTGACTCACTGATGGTCTGAGCCACAGATGCTAATTGCAGTTGAGAACATGTGCCTGCAGTGCACACCAGGCACCTTGGATGAGAGTGCACAGGGCCCAGCAGAAGCTTCAGTGATCTTTGGGTCAAGTCCAGGCAGGTGTGCTCCAAGGAGCAGGGTAGCAAAGACAGGACTCCAGCTTGCAAAAGACTAGGCCTCCATCCCCAAAAGGACTGGGATGGACCTCATGTCTCTCTGAAGATGAGCTCCTCTGCAACTTTCTGAGCTGGAATAATAGCAAACAGGCAGCAGACTCTCCGGGAGTGTGAGGGGACCCATGCCGATTTAGCATTACACTCTGGTTCCATATGTACCGGCTATGACAGAACCCTCAGTAGCTGTGATGTGCTACAAATATCTGGGAGAGGTAAACTCACAGCTATCCAGCTAAGGCATGCTGTCTGTGGACTATGAACATTCATGGCCTTTCAGCTGAGGCTGTCCTCAGGGTAGTGTCCTCTTTGGACATTAATCCTGGAGCTAGCTGCTGTCAGGCTTCCCAGAATCCAGAAGTCTGAAGGGTTGGTGCCTGCTACTCAACTCAGATGGCTGCTAAAACCAGGTGCTCCCAGGAGAAGCCAGATTGTCAAGCAGAAAAATACTTTTCCTTCAAATAAAGCAGGATCCTTCCACTGTTTAATTTTTAAAAAGGAGGGAAACAAGAATGCCATTAGGAAGGTATTTCGAATGAAAACACACTCCTTGTATGTTAAGCCCAAGTTCTGCCTGCACACTTTGAATCATCAAAAATTGCCTGATTTCTAATTTAAAAAAAGATTTTTTGTTGTTCAAAAGTACAGTTGCCTGCATTTCCCCCCAACACTCCCCCTACCACAGCCGTCCCCACCTCACTGCCCTGATTCCACTCCCCCTTAGTTCTGTCCATGTGTCAGATTTCTGAGTTCTATAGCAACTGAGTAACCCTGCATAGAATGAGTTTGAGCATAGGCTCTGGAGCTAAACTGCCTTTGTTCAGCCACCTAGTAGCTGCATGGCCTCAGAAAGGCTCTGAATCTCTGGGAATCAACTGTCCTCATCTGTAATCTGGTGACAATAGTAGTACACACCTTAAGGGGTCATTGTGAAGTTTAAATGAGGCAGTTTCTGCAAAAGACTCAGCAGTATCTGGCCACATTAAGCTATTTTTTAATGATTTTTTTAATTGATGGTTTTTAAAATTTTCTACAGATTTGGGTGTTTTTAAAAAAGATTATTTATTATTTATTTTTAGAGAGGGGGGAAGGAAGGAAGAGAGAAACAACAATGTGTGGTTGCCTCTTGTGCACCCCCTACTGGGGATCTGGCCAGCAACCTAAGCAGGTGCCCTGACTGGGAACTGAACCAGTGACTCTTTGGTTTGCAGTGCAACACTCAGTCCGCTGAGCCACACCAGCCAGGGCTGATTTATTTTTGGGGGAGGGAGGGGGAGAAGGGAGGGGGGGAAGGGAGGGGTGGGAGGGAGAAAGAAACATCAATTGGTTGCCTCCTGTATGTGCCCCAACTGGGGATCAAACCCACAACCTAGCTATGTGCCCTGACTGGGAATCAAACCCACAGCTTTTTGGTGCAAGGAATGACACTCCAAACAAATAAGCCAAACAGCCAGGGCTTTTTATGATTTTTTTAAAACTGAATTTCACCCACAAATTTTACTTCCCACATTAGGTACTTAGGCCTCAGAATACTAACTTCATTATGTTCACAAATCTTATTCTTAAGGACCTAGGACCTTCAGATGTTCATGGAACTCACTTGTCACTCAACTCAACCAGTTCTCAGGTACGTACTCTCTCCTGTAAGATCTTTGTCTCCGTGTAGTAGTCAATGGGTTTCATGGCATAAGGGAGGTCCTCAGTTCCATTCTTGATGTCAACGCCCTCAAAGATGACACTAGCACTGCTGGTTAAAATGAGTTTCTGGCAGAGGAGAAAGGAAGATTAAAAAAAAAGTCAGTAATGATCACTATTTAAGCACTACAATGGTCATTTATGAAAGAGAATCAAATGGTACTTGTTCACAACCTTCACATGCAAGGCACCACACAAATTATTTACTGCAATGCCTTTGCTTTTCAGGCCTTCTTAAAATAATCCAAAGATCACTATCTTTTGCAGCTATGTGGATTCTACACACATGATGGAATTCCATTATAAAACAACAGATTTTACTTCTTTTCTCTCCTATCACAGCCAAGGGATATGATAGACTTCCATTACTCAAAGTATCTCACTATGGGAGTGATTCTGCGTGAGGGAAGAACAGCTAATAAACTTTGAAAGAGATGTCTGTCTGAAAAAGACCTCTGGTGATTCTGATACCAACCTTGGCATGTCAGCACATGCAGGCAAATGCCCATGCCCATTTGAGAAATATTACTCAAAAGGAAGATGCTCTTTTATGAGGGTCCCCAGCTGGCAGCCCTCTGGTTAAAGGTATCTCATCCAACACTGAACATCATTAGCTTGAATTATATCTTAACTACTTTTATTCAACATTGCCCTGAAGTTCTAGCCAGCATGGTAGGATAAGACAAAGAATGATGTATAATGACCTAAAAAGAAGAAATAAGACTATCACCATTCACAGATATGGGATATGTGTACACAGACAACACTATGAATATACATAAAATACTGAAGTTAGAGTTCAGCAAAGTTGCTGAGTACAAAGTCAATATACAAAAGTTAACTGTGTTCCTATGCACTAGCAATTGAAAATGTGATACGAACGACATTTTGATAACCCATAAATGAGGTATAGAGTGATAAATTTGACAAAAGATGTGCAAAACCATTATGAAGTAGAAAACTCTGTTGAAAGAAATTAAAGAGATAAACAGAGATCTTATGTATTTATGGATAAGGAAGACTTAATATTGGAAAGATGTCAATTCTCTCCCAAATGACCTTTAAGTTTGAAGCAATTACAATAATAATTCCAGCAGGCTTTATCAACTGAACAAGCTGACCCTAAAAAGTGTATGGATGAGCAAAGGGCTAAGGACAGCCAAAGCAAATTCTGAAGAACATGGTTGGGGGTGACTTGTCCTACCAGACACTGAGATTTATCCTTAGGCTCACTGAATTAAGGCAGAGCACAGTGGCCTGGGTACAGACAGACACCAACAAAGAGGGAGAGAGAGCCAGGCACAGACCCACGCAGAGCACCAACATGCGAGTTGTGCTGGATGGGGTGCTGAAAGTGGGGAAAGGATGGATCACACAAGAAATGGCGCTGAACAACAAAGCATGTGGTCTCTACCTCAGATCCGATGCGAACATAAATTCCTGGTAGGTAAAAAGTTTAAATGGGAGTAACACTTAAAAACTTTCAGGGGAAAATACCATGTTAAACAATCTTTGGATTGCAGTATTATGAAATGTTCCCTAAACACAACACAAAAAATCCTTTCCTACACTGTTACCCACTAAGCTATTTCTGCCACTTTAGTGAATATACTGGAGCTACATTATCAAGATGGATATATTTCAAGAATATAACATTAAGGGGGAAAAGAGCAAGTTACAGGATGAGCTATTCAACATACCATTTTATAAAGTTTTATAACATGCAATCCATACTTTATATTGGCTGCACATGGAGCAAATAAAAAATAAACCCCAACCCACAGAAGTAGCTCCCCATAGCTAGGGGAAGAACAGAAATGGCATGGAGTAAGGGTACACGCAGGGCCTCAACTCTACCAGTGATAGTGTTTCTCAAATGTTGTGACAAGTGCATGGTTGCTATGTTATTCAAGAATCTTTTTTGGGATGCCTGGGATATTCCACTTAAAACCAGCAGCAGTGTGCTTCGTGCTGTGTTATTCAAGCACAGCAGAGTAAGGACGGAGTCTGGGCTTTGGCAATGGAGGGTCTGATTCGAATCCCACTTCTTTCGCTTAATAGCAGAGACCGAGCTTACTCCTCAAAATCTGCTTCCTCACCTGTTAGTGATATTAGTAGCCCCTGGCTACCTTGCGAGGAGCAAGTCAGAGGACAACTGCAGGGCAAAGTTTCTTGTCATTTGCCAAGTGTAAGGGGTCACTATTATTAGGACTGATCCTTTCCGGGGTGCAGAGTTCAGAAGAGCTCCTGTTCTTGCTGGTGCCAGGAGCCAGCAGATGGCATCAGGACTGTTGGGAGAGAAGCCCTTGGCTCACTTCAGTCTTTTTTCCCATTTACACAGCCATCTAGGGCATATGACACTTGTGAGGGTGGAGTGCTTGGGTGACAGGGAGCTGCTCTGTCCAGCAGCTGGTACCCCATAAAGGGGATCCTGAGAAACAGGATTTACAACACTGCAACAAGTTATGACATGGTAAAAACTCACGTCCCCTTTGGGTCTGCATTTTAACCAGTTCATCCTGTATAAAAGTAAATAGTTTTTCTTTGAAAATATTAGCAAAGTCTGGCAAATAGTATGGTAGTTCCTTAAAAAGTTAAAGAAAGAATTACTGTATGATCCAGGAATTCCGCTTCTTGGTATTTACCCAAAAGAATCAATAGCAGAGACAGAAGCAGATATTTATAATAACCATATTCACAGCAACATGATTCACCATAGTCAAAAGGTAGAAACGACCTGAGCCATTTCCAATTCACTGATGGGTGAATGAGGAAATGAAATGTAGTCTTGTTTACAATGGAATGTTATTCAGCCTTAAAAAGGAAAGAAATTCTGACACATGCTAAGTGAAGTAAGCCAGACACAAAAGGACAAATAGTGTATGATTCCATTTGTATGAGGTCCTAAGAGTGATCAAATTCAGAGACAGAAAGTGGAAAGGTGGGTACCAGGGGCTGGGGGAGGGAGAATAGGGAGCTGTTGTTTAATGGAGACGGACTTCACTTTGGGAAGATAAAAAAAGTTCAGGAGACGGATGGTGGGGATGGTTGCACAACAATGTGAATGCACTTAATGCTGCGGAACTATACGCTTAAAAATGGTTATGATGGTAACTTTTCTGTTATATATATTGTCACAATAAAAATACAAGCAATATCTACATTTTCTGGCTCTTTAACCAACGACTGATAAGCCTTATGGTCCTCAGATGGTCTATTCCAATGCAGTTAGAATATTACAGCTCAAATTGGCCCAGCTGTTCCAGGGCTTAATTTCTAAGATGTTCTTCTTTCAGAAGCAAGCCTTGCTAGGCCCAGGAGGAGAGCAAGAACCCTTTCCCCTGCACATTTAGAAATGTGTGACAGCACTCACTTCAATCTTCCCCTTACCTGAACCCCAGCCTCTTTGCAAGTTTCAATGACATTCTTGGTGCCAATGTAATTCACTCTATAAAAGACTTCCTTGTTGTTACTGGATGGTGGGGGTGATGCACAGTGGAAAACTGTGCTTACACCTTTCACAGCTGGGTACAGGTCCTAGAAAAGCAAACAAAGACAACGCCAATCACTCCTGCTTTACACAAGTAAACAGCCTCCTCACATTCCCACTCCCTGATCTGTCGCACATAGGTGTCTTGCCCTTTTATAATTCTACAATTAACAAAGAAATACATTCTCATTGTAAAAGATTCAAACTATAGAAGTACATGGGAAAGAAACAATGTCGTCCCTTTAACTGCCCCCTGTCCATTAATTTGTCTCTAATAAAAAATAGGCTTCCCATCAGACGCCTGTGGGATCTGTGCCATTATGCCCTACAGAGTGAGGTACAATTCAGGATACCTGGGGGTAAACTTCCTGGGGAAGATGAGCTCATAGACACAAATTATGAATCATATGAAAAAGCCCCACATCATGAAACAGTGTAAATGGCTAATATACAGGAGTATTCTTTTCTGTGAAACTAGACAGAAAACAGCTGCCTGAAAGGGACTGAAAACAGGTATGCTTAATTCACTGCTAAGAGGAACCAGAGTTCCCCAGAACAATAGTCAACTGAAGATCTGGGACAGGAAATGGATGAGATAAGCCAGGAACACCTCGTCATACCAGAAAGCAAGAACACTAGCCAAGACTCCTGGGGTCCTGCTACAAGGACTTAAGAGCCAACTTATAGAGACTCCCACTAGCCAAAGAGGGAGCAATTTGATCACCAGTAAGAATAACAATACATTCTGCAAATTAGTAAATGAAGAGGAAGAGTCAAGCATTTAATCTGCATAAGGTACATAGATTTGAGGTAAGAAACAAAGAGAGAATAATGACAGCATGTCACCACTTGGCAAAGCCTCAGTTAAGTAATAGGATCTGGGAAAAACCATCAGTAGATACTAACATCACCAAAAGAAAGATAACCGTGAATTAAGTATCTAGAGTCACTTATTAATATTTTGTCATGATTCCCTCTATTTAGATACACATACATATATGATTTTTCTGAAACCATTAGAGACTAATTTGCAGACATTGTGCCACTTTGCCTCTAAGCTCTTCACCCAGCATATCCTAAGAAAAAAGCCACCCTCCTAAAAAACCACAAAACCACCATCATACCTGGAAATTAACACATGGGGCACTCTTACCCAATAATTAGTCTATCCAAATTTCCCCAATGGTCCCAATAATGTGCTTTAGAGCCATTTTTATATTTCGATCTAGGATCCATTCATGGGTTGATCACACATAGTATTTAGTCCTCATACCTCTCCCATCTCATTGAATCTGGAAGAATATCCCTATATATATATTTTTTTCTTTTTGTCTTTTAGAGCAATGCCACTTTTTCAAGTCAGTTATTTTGTAGTGTTCCTCATTTTGGATTGGTCTGTTTCCTCACGATTGATTCAGGTTTAATACTTTTTGCAGGTTGACTTCGATCACTGGTTAAGGTGATGGCTGGCAGACTCTGGCCATCAAAAAGATACCTTTCCCTTTCTGTAATTAAAAAGAAATCTGTGGGACAATCACTTGAAACTATAAATATCCTCCCCAGAAACCTTCTACCAATTGATTTCAGCAGTCAGTGATGATCTAATTATCGCTCCCAATAGATCTAATAGATCTAATAGAGCCACAGGGAGGACATTTGACTCTAACCACTGCTGAACAGTAATGCCAAAAAAGTCTAACCACACCAAGTGTTGGCAAGAATGTGGAGCAATGGGATACTACTACCACACTGCTGGTGGGGACGAAAAGATGACATAGCAGCTTTGTCGAGCAATTTGGCAACATCTAATAAAATTCAAAATATTAATACTCTTATGACATGGGTAAAGTTTGAAAACATTATGTCGAGTGAAAGAAGCTAGTCATAAAAGGGGCAAACACTGTATGATTGTACTTGTAGGCAATGTCCAGAACAGGCACAACCACAGAGGCAGGAGATGAGTGGCTGGGAGAGTAGGAGAGGATATGGGACGCAACTGCTAACCACCCGGGGTTTTCTTATGGAGTGATGGAGGAAATGTTTTGGAAATAGGTAGTGGTAATGGCTGCACAACTTTTTAAATATACTAACAACCAGTGAATTGTGCACTTTAAAAATGTGAAATTTAGCTCTGGATGGCGTAGGTCAGTGGATTGAGCACAGGCCTTCGAACCAAAGGATCACAGTTCGATTCCCAGTCAGGGCACATGCCTGGGTTGCAGGCCAGTTCCCAGCAGGGGACGCATGAGAGGCAACCATACATTGATGTTTCTCTCCCTCTCTCCTTCCCTTCCCCTCTAAAGATAAATAAATAAAATCTTTAAAAAAATGTGAAATTTAGCCCTGATTGGTGTGGCTCAGTTGGTTGGGCACTGTCCTGCAAAGTGAAAGGTTGCCAGTTTGACTGCCAGTCAAGTCTCAGGCCTGGGTTGCAGGTTCAGTCCCTGGTTGAGCTGATAAATGTTTCTCTCCCTCCCCTTCTTCCTCCCATCCCCTCTTTCTAAAAATAAATAAGAAAGTCTTAAAAAATTAAAATGTGAAATGTATGGAATGTATATTATATTACAATAAAAATTAAAATAAACCCAGCAATTATACTTTTGAGTATATGCTTTGGAGTAGCAGCTGGTACACTATAGTCCATGGATGACTTTATTTGTAAATAAAGTTTAATTGGCCCATGCCCATTCATTTATATATTGACCAGGCTGTTTTTGCACTAGTTTCATATTTTTCAAAATTAAAAAAATTTTGACACAACAATTTGGTTGGTCTTCAAGCAGGGGAAGTCACTAGTTTCTATTTGGGGTCCTATGGGAAATCAGTAAGGCTGTATGGCCCATTACCTGTTGGCTGCAGAGGTCACCCAGAAAGAACTGCACCTGGGGATTGTCAAAACCCTGCCGAATATCAAATACATTGACAGTGTAGCCTCTTGCCAGCAACTGCTCCACCATGTGCTGCCCCAGGAACCCAGAGCCTCCGATCACAGTGCACTTCTTGGCCTGCAGAGAGAAAGGGGTGGCAGGGGGTACTGTAACCTATAAAGAATGTGGACTCATATGTCATGAGCCACTAGAATGACAGGTCCATTTCTTTGAAACCCACCCTGGTTGGTGTAGCTCAGTGGATTGAGTGTGGGCTACAAACCAAGGTGTCGGCGGTTCAATTCCCAGTCAGGGTACATGTCTAGGTTGTGGCCCAGGTCCCGAGTGGGGGGTGTATGAGAGGCAACCATACATTGTTTTTCTCTCCCTCTCTTTCTCCTTCCCTTTCCCTCTCTCTAAAAATAAATGAATAAAAATATTTAAAAAAAAAAGAAACCCTTATTGAGCCAAGTTGGAAGCTTTACACAATTCTGGTATTCTGTCATCAGTGGTGACCTCCTGTCCTGGGATCAGTAAGGAGGGGAAAAGTAGCCTTTACATTTCAGAGCAGGAAGAGGAGGGAGAGGGGGGAGAGGGGGGAGAGGGGGGAGAGGGGGAAGAGGGGGAAGAGGGGGAAGAGGGGGAAGAGGGGGAAGAGGGGGAAGAGGGGGGAGAGGGGGGAGAGGGGGAAGAGGGGGAAGAGAGAGAGTGTGCAAATGAGACTGAGAAAGACTTTGGCTACATTAGATGATCCAATATCTGCTGTGTGTTTAGTGAGAGGAAAAGGAGGTGTCTCAGAAAGAACTTAAACCACCTATGATCAAAACTGGACAATCTAAAAAAAAGTGCTGTCTTCTTGCTTCTGATAGCTGATCACTGGTCACTTATAAGGCAAAACAAAAGACACCCCTACTCAACTACAGTATGCATTCAAAACATCAGAAAGAAGAAAGCCAAGGCTCCACAGTTTCAGGAGAAAGACAGGCCCTTTTTCTTCCTGACCCTATGAGGCTGAGTTCTGTGGCCTTGGACTCACTGCCTAACCCCTGCTCACCTTAGTATATCCAAGACTATTACAGTGAAGTGGAATCTGCTGGCAGGACTGCAGTGAGGATGGGGGAGCTGTTAGCCAGGGCTTTGCTTTGCCTTCTCTGAACTCTGAGGAGGTTGACGAATCTGGGAGATCTCTAGCCTTTACATTTCGGCTTCTGTAACACATTCACTTTCCTGCCCAAATCCCAACTTTGATAAATAACGTAAGTGCAAGCACTTAAATATTCTCACTCCAGGAAGTCGATGCAAAATTGTGGCTATTGCATGCTGATTAAGCTGGCTACAAGTGTCCCCAAATGAGGACCTGTGATATCACTACACCCTTGGGTCTTCCTAAAACTGTATCTAGAGTTCCTTAAGAAGACAAATACCCATTTTTCCCCCTAAGCTTGTCTACAGCAAGTCAGAGTTGGGGGTTAGAAACTAAATATCTTAAAGAAATTCTGTTTCTGATTAAAAACAAACTCACTCATTCCACCACTTATTCCTTACATACCTATATAATTGAGATAAGCAGGAGACTTGAGATAATTGAGATAAGCCAGGGACTCTTATTACAGATCTACTCTTGCCACCCTGGTGTCCCACCTGGGATAACATTTTCATACTGGAGTCCACTGGGCATCTGGAAATGGCTCTGGAGCTTTAGCATCATTTGCCCAGGCCTCACATGCCACTCCCACCAAATGATCTTTTCAACCCATTCTTGTTTACAGTCTTCATTACTCCTGTGTGCATGTAATCACCTCATGCTTAGTAATTTGTACCTTGACTGAAATTTCTCAGATATCCCTAGGGTGTAGGCAAATTAAACACATAAATCCCATTCAGTTCTGTTTTTTTAATATTTTATTTATTTATCTTTAGAGGGAAAGGGAAGGAGAGAGGGAGAGAAACATCAATGTATAGTTGCCTTTCGTGCATCCCCTGCTGGGAACTGGCCTGCAGGGAACCAGCCTGCAACCCAGGAATGTGCCCTGACTGGGAATCAAACTGCGATTGTCTGGTTCGCAGGCCCGCGCTCAATCCACTGAGCTACACCAGCCAGGGCTTCAGTTCTGTTTTTAGCAAACCCTTCTCATCCTTTCCTCCCAAGTTAGTTGTATAGGCAAATTCAGGTTTTTTGTTTTTTTTTCCAAAGAACTCCAAAGCTCCCTGCTTCCCACACTTACTTTTCTTGGTTTCCACAGAGTCTGCCTGGGCCTAAAAAGGGGCTAATGTCTTTACTCACAACGATAATGCTATGCGGTTAGAGTTCATGTGAAATAACCAATTTTTATGGCCATGAAAGAAAATGCAGGGGAAGTGGACACAATGGGTAAGGAATATGTATTAGAAAGTAAGAATAGAACTCCAGACTGAAAACAGGTAAGGAAACTCAAGAATTGGGTTACTGAAGGAAGAGCATAACTGAGGGAAGTTATAAAATCAATTATCTTAGAGTTTTTTTTCTGATTCACTATCATTTATATTCTCAAACATTCTTGAAAAACATAAGCAAATCCAGGGACATATCTATTAAATTTACAAAAAGACTAAATGTAATAAGGCAAACCAAGAAGTATCCAATTTTATTCATGCACCACACCTTCTTCATCCATTCATCTATTGATGGACATTTAGTTTGCTTCCATATCTTGGATATTATAGGTAATGCTGGGTACAACATAGGGAATATGTGTATAGCCAACAACATTGCAAACTGCATGGTGCCAGATGGGCACTAGACTAATCGGGGTGACCACCCCACAAGTCATGTAAGTGTCCAATCAGCATGTTGTATACCCGAAACCAATAGAATATTGTATGTCTAATGTAATTGAAAAAAATTCTTAAAAAGTGCGCAATTTTTACTTTATCTAGCTATCCATCTACATATCTACATTCATCTATTTACTGCTCCCAACTATTTTAGTGTAAATTTCTTTCACATTTCAAAAGATATTCCTATGCTAAAGTTATGTCATCTTGGTTTTGATCACAAAAGTGATTTAAGGATTTCCTATTTCTTTTTCAAAAACAAAACTTGTGCTCTGGAGAGAGTTTTAAGTATAGAAAAGAAAGCCATCTAGACAGCCTATTTTTAAAAAGTTTTTATTTATTTATATATTTTTAATATTTTATTTATTACTTTTTTATTTTTAGAGAGAGGGGAAGATAAGGAGAAAGAGGGAGAGAAACATCAGTGTGTGGTTTCCTCTCACATGCCCCCACTGGGGACCAGACCCGCAACCCAGGCATGTGCCCTGACTGGGAATCAAACCAGCGATTTTTTAGTTCGAAGGCTGGCACTCAATCCACTGAGCCCCACCAGCCAGGGTTGGATGACCTATTTTAATAGCAGTATGGTCTTGAGATAAGAGAATGGTCTAGGCCACTGGGTTTCTTCCAAACATGTTTTCATTTTTTTTCCAAAGATGTCTTACACAGAATGTTAGATAAGATGAAAGTGTTCTTTTGATTTTAGTAGTTTGAATGTGTAGCTTTTACTTACTATAAAGTTAATCAATGAGAAAGAACATCTGATACAACCATTGGAATCTAGACTTTTTTTTTTTGGTTGCTGAGTATCAGTAAAATCCTAATTTATACATACAAGAAACTGTAGCTGGCAAATGGCTCTGCTGGTTTGTCTGAACACTAGAGTGCGACATTAACTTTCAACTACAGGGGCACAAAGAAGGCTTTACTCTGAGTTCCACACCTAAACCAGGGTGATGCAGTGGCCCATGGGACCCCTCTGGGGAGTCCTCCTTTATTAACATTTGACATAAACACATTTTACCTTGGCATGACTACATTTCTGAAGTATTATCATTCATTAAAAGTGAACTGGAAAATCTCCAGGAGGCTTTGCTACTGCCACTGTTGCCCCTGGGTAAGGCTTCTGCCATTTCACTCAGAAGCCCAGTCTAGCATGCCGAGGCCATATGAAGGCAAACTGAGGCACCCAGTTGATTGCTAGCAGTTACTACCAGGCATGTGAGGATACCTAGAACATATAACTCAGGGGCTCCCCATGGCTGCAGCTTTGGGAGTGAGTTCAGGGTAGACCAGCCACAGATCCCCCTACCTGGGCCCGGCTCAAACCACAGAATCATGAACAAAGAAATGGGTGCTGTTCTAAACCACTGACACTGTTACAAAGCAGTAACTGATACCTTAAATAAAGAGATATATCTTATATAGAAAAACAATATTCAACATTAACTGATTTAATAAATGTACCAAGTATAATGTTTAACCCACCGCTAACTATGAATAGCTTGCTGGTACGTATGTGCTTGACTTTCCCCCTCTCTGGTTTTGGCTAACCCTTTTTGTGTCAGTACTTACTTTTGGACTGTCTTCTGTCAAATGTGGCCCTGTGACCTGGTCTCTCATTGGCTTGCCAACTGCTTCTTCCATTTCAGCTCCAAATATGGTCCTGTTTGTGATCAACCCTTCTTTTCTGAAAGACATAGTTAAACATAAACATGTTTTAGCTGTAAGTATTTTGTGTGCATGCCATCCCTCATTGAGTTTTCACAAAGAGCTGAACTTTAGTGTAGCCGTTGGCTAGAGCCCTCAGCCTCCATTCCTGTGATGCAGGCTGCTCTCTTAGAGAAGGTCATAACTGGTAATCCAGGAAGCTCAGAGAATCCCAAAGAAGTTGGACCCAAGAAGGAACACACCAAGGCACATCATCATTACATTAGCCAAGATTAAAATGAAGGAGAGAATCCTAGAAGCAGCAAGAGCTAAGGGGACAGTCACCTACAAAGGAGTTCCCATCAGACTGTCAGCGGATTTCTCAAAAGAGACCTTACAGGCAAGAAGGGGCTGGAAAGAGGTATTCCAAGTCATGAAAACCAAAGATCTACAACCAAGATTGCTCTACCCAGTAAAGTTTTCATTTAGAATGGAAGGACAGATAAAGTGCTTCTCAGATAAGACCAAATTCAAGGAGTTCATCATCACCAAGCCCTTATTATATGAAATGTTAAAGGGACTTACCTAAGAAAAAGAAGATAAAAAAGATGAACAGTGAAAGGACAGCAAACTCACAGTTATTAACAACCACACCTAAAACAAAAGCAAACTAAGAGGACAGCTAGATCAGGAGCAGAACCATAGAAATGAAGATCTCATGGAGGGTTAGCAACAGGGGAGTGGGAGGAGGAGAAGGGGGGAGAAGGTACAGAAAATAAGTAGCATAGACAGTAGGTAGAAAATAGATAGGGGGGAGGATAAGAATAGTAGGGGAAATACAGAATCTAAAGAATTTGAGACACGTGTTCGTGAACTAAAGGGGGAAATGGTGGGGGAGGGGTATGCAGGGTGGAGGGGAATGGAGGGGGGGAATAGAGCAAATGTAATGGCATAATCAATAAAAAAAAAGTTTAAAAAAAAAGGTCATAACTGGTCCCATAACTCACTATATACTTGGACTAGAGGCAGAATGAAAGGCCAGTTAAGTAACCTCATTCATCAGTCACATCAAAAAGAATGTCTTTGGCATTGTAGCTTTTCCCATGGCACGCATGTACTTTCGTTACTCTCTATTTCTCTTATGTTGATCATTATACTGTGATAGTGCAGTGGGAAAATGCACTGACCTAGGGAGCCCTGCCCTGATCACAAACTGTAAATCTACTCAAGTCATGCCTTTTTACTGTAGCTCAGTTTCCCCATCAATAAAATGGACTAGGTGCTCATCACTGAGATGCCAGCCAGGGCCTAGGGTGCTGGGAGGGGGAAGAGTGTAACAGGAGATGGACCTTTCCTTTTTGGTGAAATTAAAGCCATCCTGACTATGCATGGAAGAACTCAGAGAGTCTGGGGCCATCAGAAATCTTGAGAGATAGTAGTGAAGCATCCCAGCTGACTAAGTCCCACAGTGATACTCCACAGAAGACTATCACAGATCCCTGAACATCTAAAGACAGCAAAATTCATGACAAGGAAAACAGTCTGACTGCTCACAGAAGGCTAGATTTATAGAACACTCTTTGGTGAGGAGGTAGCAGGGCAGCCAGCACCAGGGTCTCAAATAGCATGATTGCTCTCATTGAATTACACACTCACACTCATACATACTGCCATGCTCAAATGTCCCTGTAGGAACTGATTTTGTGGGTGGCTAAATGGCCTTGAAACAGATGTTAGGATCCTCAAGGACCAATGGGGTCAGCTTGGGGAAATATACAGGGTCTGGCACAAATAAAACTCCTGTTTTATTACAAAATCATAAGCATGTAATTCTGTAACATTACAATCTCACACTCAAGCACACCATATGACATTTTAGGTGAAACATTCAAACTAAAACTATAAATTATTACACCCATATTATTACCCTACCAACCACACTCAAGCAGGTGAAACTTCTGCCAGACCCTGTATTTCTGAAAGTTATGGGGACAATATATGAAAGTTATCAGGAAAATGTATTTCAAAACTTCACTTTAAAAAATTTATTTATTTATCTTTAGAGGGGAAGGGAGGGAGAGAGGGAGAGAAATATCAATGTATGGTTGCCTCTTGTGCGTCCCCTACTGGGAACTGGCCCACAACCAGGGCATGTGCCCTGACTGGGAATCAAACCATGATTCTTTGGTTTGCAGGCCTGTGCTCAATCCACCAAGCTACACCAGCCAGGGCCACTTTATTTTTCAATACACAGCTTTTATCGCATCTTTAAAATTACACAAATAAATGTAAGGAATATCTCAAGTAAGTGTGAGGAATCATTTGGCACCTTGCTCTTTCTATAGCTGGACACCTTAGATCTTATTCATCAGCTTGCTGATCTGTTCCTTTTTCAGAAATATAGATACAATCCCAAAATGTTCTGATATCCTTGTTTTTAACTGTTGCAGCGTGCTGACTCAAAGCAGCTGAATTTGATACAAGTTCAATGTCATTTCCTTCCAAAATCAACTCATCTTTTTGGGCCTGAGGTACTGAACAAGCAACACCTGACCTCATCCGAACCCTGAGCATATATGTTTCACCCAAGAAATTCTGATTTCAACGAGAGAACCATTCTTCTGAATAACAACGTTGATGGGGAAGTGAGCATACACAGACCTCATCTTGTAACAGAAGCCCAGTGTAACACCCTTGATCACATTCTGTACGTGATTGCAGATCTTGCAAACGGTGGCCAGCTCCTTTCTATTTCCCCACCTTTTGTCAACTCGGAGCCTCTTCTTTTTCTTTCCAAGGAGACTGAATTCTATGTTGATATGGTTGAAGTCCCTCTGCAGGGTGCCTCTGGGGCCCTTCACAATAACTGTGTGCCCCTTCAGAGTGATGTCCACATTCTCAGGGATGTCAACAGTCTGATTGCTGAGAATGGTCTTTGCCCTCGCAGTAGAAGTGGCAAAGCCAAAACTTCACTTTTTATAGATCTTTTCAGAACATGTAAGTTGTCCTCTAGTTCTATGCCTATCCCATCTCTCTCTTTATCCCATAGTCTTCCTTGTGTTGGTAGGGGCCCCTGCCATCTGTCCACCCTAAACAGAAATGACTGGTGAGCTTTGAGTCATTTGACTCAATGTGTAATCAGCTGGAGAATGAGTTTTTAGCCACTTGCACCAAGGTGTAGCAGCATGTGCCAGGAGTTCTGTCTTCCTCACTGCAGTATCTCAGCATGAAGCCTGGCACAAAGCGGGCATTCACATATCTACCAGACCCATGAATACATGGAGTGTTTACATGCCTATACAGACCCCCTCCTGCTTTCCACCACATACACAGAGACACTTAACTAAGGTGAAAGAGTTTCAAGGGGGCAAACAGGTTTGTCATATTTCTGTTGGTGCTACACTCACAAATAGCCACTGCTGGCTTCTTACTCAATTTCCCCAGATACTCAGGGAAACATGAGGAAGTGACATATGATAGACAGCACTGGCAGTGATGTAGTCCAAGCCAGGGAATGCCTGAGGCCATCAGAAGCTGGAAGAGTCAGGAAAAGCCCTCCTCTAGGGCCTCCAGAGGGAACAGGGCCCAGCTCACTTCTGGAGTGTAGGCCTCCAGCACTGTGATAGAAGAAATGTCTGTTGTTTTAAGCCCTCTAGTGTGTGGTCATTTGTTGCAGCAGTCCCAGGAAATCAGCACAAGTATTCTCCATAGTAGTGAAATTCAAACAGCATGGATGGACCTGGAGAGCATTATGCCAAGTGAAATAAACCAGGCAGTGAAAGACAAATACCATAGGATTTCACCTTTAACAGGAACCTAATCAACAAAATGAACAAGCAAGCAAAATAGAACCAGAGACAGTGAAGTTAAGAACAATCTGACAGTAACCAGAGGGGAGGTGGGAGGGAATGGGGGGGGGAGGGATTTCAGGAATAACTATAAAGGACACATGGACAAAACCAAGGGGGTTGGAATCAGGGAAGGGAGATGGGGATGGCTGGGGTGGGGGGGAGTGGTAGGTGGAAAATGCAGATGACTGTACTTGAACAATAAAATTTTAAAATAAAAAATAAATAAAAACATAAAATCTGTTAAAAAAAGGAACAGTATGGAAAATGGAGAAGTCAAAGAACTTATATGTATGATCCATGGATATGAACTAATGTAGGGAAATGCTGGTCTGGGAGGGGGGGTACTAGGGGAAGGGGAATGGGAGAAAAATGGAAAAACTGTAATAGCATAATCAATAAAATATTCTTAAAAAACAGCAGAGCCCTGGCTGGTGTAGCTCAGTGGGTTGGAGCGTCATCCCATACCCTAAAATATTGCAGGTTAGATTCCTGGGTTTTTTTTTTTTTAAAGATTTTATTTATTTATCTTTAGAGGGGAAGGGAAGGAGAGAGGGAGAGAAACATCAATGTATGGTTGCCTTTCGTGCGTCCCTGCTGGGAACTGGCCTGCAGGGAACCGGCCTGCAACCCAGGCATGTGCCCTGACTGGGAATCGAACTGCGATTGTCTGGTTCGCAGGCCCGCGCTCAATCCACTGAGCTACACCAGCCAGGGCAGATTCCTGGTTTTCATCCAGGTCAGGGTGAGTATGACAGGCAACTGATCAATGTTCTACTCTCTTACATTGATGTATGTATGTATGTATCTTTTTCTCTCTCCTCACCTTCCCCTCTCTCTCAAATCAACAACAAACATATATTTGGGTGAAGATGTTTTTTAAAAAGGAGAAATTCTTATGCATGTTACAGCATGCGTGAACCTTGAGGACATGTTAAGTGCAATGAGAACCTTGAGGACATTAAGCTAAGTGAACAAGCCAGACACAAAAGGACAAATAATGTATGACTCTACTTCTATGAGGTCTCTAGAATAGTCAAATTCATAGACACAGAAAGTAGAATGCTAGGTGCCAAGGCCTGGAGAAGAGAATTGGGGAGTGACCCTTTAGTTGACAGAGTTTCAGTTCTACAAGATGAAAAGAGTTCAGGGAGATAGATGGTATTGGTTGTTGCACAACAATTTGAACCTACTGGGTGGGCCAAAAAGTTCATTTTTTTTCCACAAGATGGCTCTAGTAGAGCTTAGTTGTCTTTAACTTCATTTAAGATAATTTTGTTAGATTATATCATGACAGCTGTCATAGCAGCTTGCATTCAAAAGCTTAACAAAATTGGTGAATTTTGTATAGCTATTTTAATATTGAAGATGGAAGAAAATATAGAACACTGTTCGGCATACTATGCTGTATTATTTCAAGACAGGTAAAAATGCAACTGAAACCCAGAAAAAGATTGGTGCAGTATATGGAGAAGGTGCTGTGACTCATCAAATGTGTCAAAAGTGGTTTGTGAAGTTTTGTGCTGGAGATTTCTCACTGGATGATGCTCCATGGTCAGGTAGACCAGTCAAAATTGACAGCGATCACATTGAGACATTAATTGAGAACAATCAACACTATACCACGTGGAAGACAGCCAACATACTCAAAATATCCAAATCAATAAAGTTATCATTGCAAATGAAAAATGTGTCATTTATTTTATGGAAAAAACTAAACAGACTTTTTGGCCAACCCAATTCTTAATGCCCCTGAACTGTACACTTGAAAATGGTTAAAAGAGTAAATTTTCAGTTCTATTTTACTACACATTCACTCAGAAGAACAGCTCTGAATGGGAAAATAAGACCCCAAAGACCAACATTCTAGGGGTTGTAATTGCTAAGGTTCACCAATCAGAAGCCTTAAGTCTTTCTCCTTTAAAATGGTATGTCTTTGAATCCATGAAAAACTGGTATGTATGCCCTGCTATGCACACTGGGACAAAGTCTTAGGCTGAAAAGAATCTAGGAAAAGAGAGCTACCTGCTCCTGGTGAAATACAAGTGCCTCACTCAACTTCTGGGCAAGAAGAGGAGGGCTGCTGACAGGATTCAATAAAGAGGGGAGTGAATGAACCTGGTTTCTTCCTTCCTGCTGGAGAAAGTTCCACACTACTGAGTCCTGGAGAGAAAAGAAATAGATCGTCTGTCCATTTCAAACGAGATAGAGAAAGACGAGTGTTCTCTCCTTGTTCTTTCACAGACCTGAGGCATCTGTATGTTTCTGTCATTCGTCTCTCTGCTTATCTGTTTACTTTTAGTACATACAAAGGCCCTGGCTTTGAATTTGTGGTAGCCACTGAGAAACCCATCAGTATGCCCGTGAGCTTCAGTGTATGCTGTTTCCTTTCTGCTCCAAGGTGAGTTCCTACTCATCCTTCAAGGCTTTGCTCAACTATCAACTCTGTGAAACCCCTTCCTCCTCCCCCCGAAAGGTTAGCTGCTTCCTTAGCACTTGTGTCTGCTTCCATTCTATCACTTTGCCCACTGGTTTATACTCCCCTGCCCACATCTGTCTTGGCTGACTAGGCTGTGAGCCCCTGGAGGGCCAGCAAAGGGCCTGGAATGGAGTTCAGGTTGAACTGTGCTGCTGCAGCTGGCCTGAGACCTCACCTGTAGGGCAGCAATCTACCTGCTGACCTCAGAGCTGCTGTGGGGCCCAAACAAGCCCCAGGTGTAAAAAGGGCACTGCAGCTGGTAGGATTAGCCAGGTGTGTCAGCTCATTCATTCCTACATTCCATCATTCACAAGGCATTATATGCTGGCTGCTGCCAAGCAGAACCTGCACAAGACAAGGAGCCCACCACTTCATGTTGAGATAGACCTGGGAGAGCATTGCAGAAGTGCCTTTGAGCTCTGCTGAGGGTAAAAACTGAGAGCAGGGAGCCTGGCCTAGAAGGCAATCCCTGAGCTGAGTTCTCAAGACCCTGGAGGATTGAGTTAAGTGGACAGGGCAGGTGTCCTGAAAGATATTCCAAGTCCCAGGGTGACAATGACGAGGTGACAGTACAGAGCCAGTATGTTCTGGCAACTATGACAAGTTGTGTCATGCTGAGTGTGAAGCAAGACTGGGAGCAAAATTGAGAGCATGCATAGGCTGTTTATCAAGTTAGAGTTACCCTAGGAGGAGAAGGGGGAGTAAGCCCCTGGATGCTGTAAGCAAGGGTGAATGTTAACGTCAGAAAGATCACTCTGGCTCCAGTGTGGAGAAAGGATTTTAGCCACGTTGTGGTTCCAAGTATGCCAGGTCGGTGGAATGACAAGAGCAATTCAGAAAAAACAAAACAAAACAAAACTAAACTAAACTAATATTACCTGAAGACCTGCTAAATGCAGACCCTTTTACATATATTATATCAATAAGACCCAAAAAGCAACCAGTTAAGAAGACAATACTGGTCTCATTCAACAAATGAGAAACTGAGGCTCAGAGAAGTCAAGTGACCTGCCCAAAGTCACACATCTGGTACATAATCAAGGCAGAGAACTTGCAGTTGTTGCTTCTACTCGGCCAGGCTGCCACCTACAGACTGACTGGGAAGATGTGGAGGGACAGGAAGTAAGAAAGACTACTAGCAGAGGCAAAACTGGGCAGGAGGCTCAGATGCCAGGCTGAGTTGGACTTTACTCTATAGTCCAGGGAACCACTGAGAGTTTAAAAGCATGGAGGTGATCTGGCCAGAGCTGTTCACAGGGAAAATTAACCTGGTAGAACAGGGTGGACTAAATAAGTAAGGAGCATCAAATAGAAGGATTACTCATCAGTCTTTCAAGCAAGATTTACTGAGCACCTGATATGGGTCCCTCACTGTTGCAGACACTGGAGTGTCAGCAGTGAACAAAACAAAGATTTCTACCCTCATAGAACTAACCTTCTGCTGGATGAGCAATAAAAACCAAAGTAAGTAAAATATACCACAGGTTAGAAAGTGGAAGTACTATGGGGAAAAAAGTAGAGCAGGGTGTGGGGTTTGGATGTGCTGGGGGCTGCAGTGCGAAACAGGGTATTAGGATGGCTCATTGGGAAGGTAAGAATAAAGCAAAGATGGGAGGGGGGAGAAGTGGACCAAGGAGGCAGAAAGAACAGCTACAGCAAAAGTTCTAAGGTAGGAGTGTCCCTGTGCTTTTAAAGCCCAGCAAGGAAGCCTGTGTACCAGGGCTGGAGGGTCTGGGGAGAGGAGAGGGCATGTCATTGCCTTGCAGACCAAGGTGAGAACTTGGACTTCGACTATTTGGGATGTTGATGATGAAGGCTCGCATTGGGAGTGGAGCACCAGAGGTAGCAAAGAAGAAAAGGAATGGCACCTAAGGGGTAGAATTGATAGAACTTGGTGGCTGGTTAATGCAGAGGGGACAGGAAAAAAAAGAATGTATGACCCAAAGATTTGGACCTGGCTCCTGGCTCACACTCAGAGGGGAAAAAGGCAAAGGGCACAAGTTTGGTGAACACTTTCATTTAAGGAATACTAATAAACCTCAGGCCTTTCTTAGCCTGAGAAACTTCTGCTCTGACCCCTGCCTCCGTAAAAACTACTCCAATGTCCCGATGGGAAGCAGGTAGGGGTTGAGAGTCACATAGATCTCTTAACACGGGGCTGGTTGAGGAAGGCCGATGCTGGACTTCCAATTTCACTAGTGCAGCTCCGTTTCAGCCCAAATCCTCGCAGACGCCCCCTTATAATTCTGCAAGCATCCCTCACACTTCCAAAACTCCTCTGAAGCTTTATTTATGAGGGTATCTAGGCCTGGAATGCTCCTCCCTATCTGACCTTGAGTGTTTGCGTGTCAAAAAGAGTGTATTGTGATGACCTCTCCCTCTCATGCTCGCTCATGTCTCCTTCACTCCCTTCAAAGTCCGTTCCCAGGCCCCCAGCTAGCTTCCTGGGCTGCTTTTTCCCAGGGGTGAACCGAAATGAGTCTCTTGGAACCTGGTGAGGGAAGGGAGTGCTCTCAAAGGGGTACCTTCAAAGAAAGCCTCAGCTGGTTTCAGCTCCTATGTCCCAGCCGCCCGAACCTATGCGACAATGCTCGGTATGTCCCTTCCCTTCTCTGGGTCTCAGTTTCCCTATGAGTAGTCTCCACGCCAACACTTAAGGTTCTCTAATCCGTTTGGGGCCCAGCGACCCTAACTCAGTCTTAGGCCAGACCAAAAAGCCCGGACCTGGACCGCCCCACCCAGCCCCTCGCATTCCCGCCCAGTCGCTGACACCAGACAGCCTCCAAGGGGGAGGGGTCACGACCCTTACCTGTAGTAGATGTCCCCCTTGCCGGTTTCACCACGACTGCAGGCCGCACCCACTGGGCTCCTGCTCTGGTCGACGGCCGCCAACTTTTTCTAGCAGCCCGAAGTGAGCTAGGACTCTGGGGAAGCTCCTCCAACACTAGGACTGGCTGGGCTTGGCCAATCAGCGCCTGTGGCGTGATCGCGCCTGACGAGGCCAGAGCTCCACCTGCAGCGCGCCACTACCGGCCTTGGGCGGGGCCTCTGCTGAGTTAGTCCCACCCATTCCAGTCCAACGCCTACGGCGAGAGGCTGTGGCGGCAAGCTGATCACCAATGAGGAGCGGGGCAGCGCGCTCTGGACGATGGGAACGGGAGCCGAGTTAGTGTGTACATTGGTTGCCGTAACAACGGGTACCTGAGCCTTTGAGATGGTGAGTGCCGCCCCTCCTGTTGTGCCCCTTGCCCCAGAGATTGAGCCCTTCACTGGCCTTGGCCTTTCCGTTGTCTTTCTTCCTCAGTTCTCGGATTTGGCACGCCCCTCCTTTCTCTGACATCTTTCTCCCAAGGGAAAGGAAGAGACGCCAGCCACCGTGCTGGGCCTGCGATTTGTGGCTGGCTCCCCTTAACCCACAGCTAGCTCCTACCCGCTCCTCTGGCTATCCAGGCCCTCCGGGCGACCTGTACTAGGGTAAAGAAGACTAGGGTTCCTCAAAGGCCCCGACCCTTCTCAGACCTTGGCCTCCTGGCCGCCAAGCTCTACCAAAGTTTCCGCACAATGCTGGGGGAGGTTGATGACGTTCATTAACATGCATTTTTAAATTTAAATATAGGGCCATTCAGGAGACGCTTTGAGCTTCTTGGGGAAGGCACAGACAGATGTGCCGGGGGAATTGCATTTTATTATTAGGTACTGACAGAATATACATCCTAACAACTGATTTATATTCGGCCAAATCGGAAGTAATCAGAAAGAGTACTTAGAGGGAAGTGGAGTATCGTGAGTGGGCATTGTAAGGACATCTCTAGAATTGGGATCCTCAAATTCAGGGAGAGCTTATTATCTACTCCTTAGCTAACTAGGTGTCTTTTGGGATGATTTTCAATAAGGGATGTTCCACAGGACAAAGAATCTCCTTGCTTCTACAAATTAGTTTAAAAAGAGGGAGGGAAAGAGGTGCATGGAAAGATTCATTGTCCTTCCCAGTAAACTCTAATTATCTTTACAGTTAAGCAAAGCTCTAGAATAGGTTAGTATAAAGTATTTTTAAAAGATATGGTTGTCTTTATTTTATGTAAATTATGGACTGTGTTACATAATATTGTGCTTATGTGTTTGCAAAACGTCTAAAGGCCTCTAACTTTAAGAAGGCAAACATGGCATCAACTGCCCAGCGAAAAAGAGTGAGCCCTAAGCCAGAACTTACTGCGGAGCAGGTGCAGGAAATCCGGCAAGCTTTTGATCTCTTCGACACTGATGCAACTGGGACTATCGATGTTAAGGAACTTAAGGCAAGCCCTGTACATTCCTGCTCTGCTGCCTTGCCTTTCCTTTGCCTCTTTGTCTTCTTTCCCTGTCACCGCTCTGCCCTTTTGTCCTCTCCTCCCTGGAAAATGTGCCAAGGGAAGAAGGTACTGCTGTTTTCCTAGCTTTACTTACCCCAACTGTTATTAAATAAAATGAGTGCAAATATCAATGTACTTAATGTTATAGTGTTTCCCAATATTTTAACATGAGTGTTTCAGATGCTGGCTTAATGCTCTCACTGTCATTTTTGCTCTTGCTCTACTTAGATGTGCACATTGAGATGATTGATTCTGTTTTCATTGTAGGTGGCAATGAGGGCACTGGGCTTTGAGCCCAAGAAAGAAGAGATCAAGAAAATGATAACTGAAATTGATAAGGAAGGGACAGGAAAAATGAACTTTAATGACTTTTTGACTGTGATGACTCAGAAAATGGTAAGATTATCAGCATATTTTCTATCCACAATGGACAAATTTGAATATGGATATGAAAATGTCTTCATTGAAGAACCAAACATTAATAAAAACTGGAGAGTTTGGCTGATAAAGCATAATATTGGTGACTGAGAATTAGGCTGCTTAAGTTTTACTTGGCTTTCTTCAAGGCACAAAGTCACAGGAAGTCATTTTATCCTCTGTTAAGTAGTAAAAGTACTACTGTTGTCACTTTTTATCTATTCTCTTTCTCTAACTGATATGTCAATGTGATAACCAAGAGCAGTAAAACCTATACACACCAATGATATTACAGTGTCTTGCATTTTGACAAGATAAATTTCCTCTACTTTAAAGTTTGAAATTCTTCTTTCTCCATTTGTTATTTTGGGCAGGCTTAGCCCAAGGATCCGTTGCTTTAGCAGTGTGCTTTGCACTGGGGATTTGGCCTTTTAGCACTTCCAGGGCTTAACTCACCCATTTTCTAGCCTCTCAAGTGTCACTGTTTTTAAAAAAATTTTCGTCTTATTGATTATGCCATTACATTTGTTCTATTCCCCCTTCATTCCCCTCCACCCTGCACCCCCCACCCCCACCATTCCCCCCCTTTAGTTTATGACCATGTGCCTCAAGTTCTTTTTTTTTTAAATTTTTTTATTGATTATGCTGTTACAGTTGTTCTATTCCCCCCTTCATTCCCCTCCACCCTACCCCCCCGTCCCCACCATTACCCCCCCTTTAGTTTATGTCCATGTGTCTCAAGTTCTTTAGATTCTATATTTCCCCTACTATTCTTGCCCTCCCCCTGTCTATTTTCTACCTACTGTCTATGCTACTTATTTTCTGTACCTTCTCCCCCCTTCTCCTCCTCCCCACTCCCCTGTTGCTAACCCTCCATGAGATCTTCATTTCTATGATTCTGCTCCTGATCTAGCTGTCCTTTTAGTTTGCTTTTGTTTTAAATGTGGTTGTTAATAACTGCGAGTTTGCTGTCCTTTCAGTGTTCATCTTTTTTATCTTCTTTTTCTTAGGTAAGTCCCTTTAACATTTCATATAATAAGGGCTTGGTGATGATGAACTCCTTGAATTTGGTCTTATCTGAGAAGCACTTTATCTGTCCTTCCATTCTAAATGAAAACTTTGCTGGGTAGAGCAATCTTGGTTGTAGGTCTTTGGTTTTCATGACTTGGAATACCTCTTTCCAGCCCCTTCTTGCCTGTAAGGTCAAGTATCACTCTTTTAAAGGGTCCAAAGGGTCAAGAGATACCATACTATGTCACCCCACCTCACTTCCCTGAGTGTCATCCCACTCAGGAAGTATGTTACCATTGGACCATTGCTCTTTTCTTTGGCATCCCAGCTCCTTCTTAGTTTGGCTCATCTGCACTCTACTGGTCTGTGGAACAGTATCTCCATTAGCATCTCAGGTGTGTGTCCCAAGGCATAAGTCTATTCATACTCTAATAATTCTGTTGCTTTGAAATAATCTAATCATATCTATATTTTTCTTTGTGGACTAACACCAGCTTAAGCAGCTATATTTCTCCTAATTTTAACCCCTCTCCTTCTATATTTTAAAAATAAGTCCAGTTTTTCTAGTTTGTACAGAAGGGATGTTTTAAGTGCAGTACTTTATCAAGTTCCTTTTTAGCCTTTGGGTTTGTATAATGTCATTGAGTTTGTTCTTTTGTCCTGTACTGGATGATGCTTGATCCCCTGTGACCTAGACCTGTGTCATGAAGGCTATCACCAAGACCATGCAGTGATGTAGGGGCAGGGCAGGGGGGTTAGGCAGTAGTGGAGCTATAGGACATGAGTAACTGCAGTGTTTCCCTACTCACGTGTTTTATGTTCTACTTGTTAAGTCTGAGAAAGATACCAAAGAAGAAATCCTGAAGGCTTTTAAGCTCTTCGATGATGATGAGACTGGGACAATATCATTCAACAATCTAAAACGTGTGGCCAAGGAGTTGGGTGAGAACCTCACTGATGAGGAGCTGCAGGTTTGTAATGCATCACACTAGAACCCAGAATTCCTGGTTGCAGCCCTGGGTGACTTTTCTGAGTTACATTTTCTCTGATGTATGCACTGCTTTGAAGGAAAACTAGTGTTTTTTGTCCCTCAGCTGACCACTTAATTTCTCTTTTGATAGTGTGATAAAGCTGTGAACCTTGCTCCCAGAAAAATACAAACATGGACAATTTTACTTACAATTTTAGGTTTTAGGCATCCCCCCTCAAGCTCTCTTGTAGGTGGTATGCGTGACAAAGTATGACTTAGATTTCAGATAACTTTTCAGGAACCAAGCAATTGTAAAAAGCAGCACATTTGCATTGGGTGGACTACAGTGGTCTATTCATGTAGCATATAAAAGCCTGTTGCTTGGTCACATTTTAGTTTCATTAATCTAATCTGAATCCTTACTGTCATGCAGGAAATGATTGATGAAGCTGATCGAGATGGAGATGGAGAAGTCAATGAGCAAGAGTTCCTACGCATCATGAAAAAGACCAGCCTTTATTAAGATTATTCTCTTCTTTTCTAGTCCAAGCACACATCACTAGATTTAGTGCCTGCCATTGTGTGAAACTTGGTTTTCGAGAACACAAATTGTTTTTTCCCACCAACCTCCCTGTATAACTTTAGTAACAACCTCGAATCTGTTTTAGATTTTTGCATGTGTTCTTTGATGGTAGAGTTCTTTGTGAGGTGACACGCTGCTTACTTTAATTCCCCAAGGCAGAACCAGAGCACATTAGAGTAAAGGGTCTGAAAGCTTTCACCCACTTGCTGTTCTGACTTATAGTGCTTCTCTTGTCATGTGTTCCCACATTTATGCTACCACAGAAGGACTCACTAGACAAGCACATGTACCTGTGCTACCACAGCAGTGGGCATCTCTTGGATGGTTCTGGTTTTCACTGACACTTGAGTACAGCTTTCTGTTTTAAAAAAATCCAGTGAACTTTCTCACTCACATTTGGATATATTTTTACTATTTGTTTGGTCTTAAGAATAAAATGTGTCTTATTTTGAGCTTTTTTTCCCCTAAGAATGAGTTCTTTAGGCTTGACTATGAACTGATCTTTTAAATCAGGGGTTCCCAAACCCCAGGCCATAGACTGGTAATTGTCTGGTCCATGGCCTATTAAGAACTGGGCCCCAGTGAAGCTTTCCTGAGCTTCACCTCCCAGCCCTGCCCCAGTTCTACCCGCCCCCTCCCTGTCTCCGTCCTCAGCCCCCCTCTACAGCAGGAGGGGAGCAGCCGAGCAAGCAAGGGAAGCTCCTCTGAGCTCAATCTCCTGATACAATTGGTCCCTGGTG